GGACAGGGCACTGAACAGACAGTGGAGACGCAGCTCATGCACCACCCAGGCACAGAGAGGAGGGCATCAGACCGAACCGGTAGACTATTTAAGGTACCCAGGCGCCCAGCGACCCCCCCCCCCTCTCCCCCCAACACTGTGTGCACCACGAGAGGGCCATCACACCACCGCATAGAACACCCATACATACTGAGCCCCCGTCCCGGACAAAACACTCACTACAAGGACACTCCAGACTCAGAACACCCCATACATCAGCCTCGCCGGGATCCAATCGAAAGGGACCTTCCAAGAGCGGGCGGTAGTTCAAGACCATTGTAGCCTACTTGCAGCTTGTGCCACAAATGCTCACCTGAGGTGGGCCAGCCTCGAACCCACAAACTGCATTTTATAATGCAGGCGCCCAAACAACTGGGCTCCAAACAGTCGCTAGATGCGAATGGCCACTATGTCGGTCGACGCCCCCGCGTGTATTCTGTGCAGGTGCGGAGTTTGAACCTGGAACCTTAGACCACAAAGTGCATGTCTACTAGTTAAAGGCCAGTTGGTAGAGCCTTCTGTTTCTTACTAGAGTTGCAGTTCGATTCACGTCTCTGCATGTCTACTAGTTAAAGGGGTTGTTGGCCAGTGAAATGACCATATTCCACAGGGTGGGAGATTTCATATACAATGCAAAATACATCGTGTGCACTCCCATCATTCACAGCGCATGGAAGAACCCTCTGGTTCTGACTATACTCGGAAGTTTGATTCACCTCTCTGCATGACTACTCGTTAAAAGGGGTCGTCCACCTATTGCAATGATCATTTTTTTTATTTTATTTTTTTTAACGGGCTCAGTGCCCAAGGCTGATATTACCAATAATGGTAATAAGAAGATTGAGGCCAGGATGCAATGATCATATTCCATAGGGCTGGAGATTTGCCTCTCTGCATGACTACTCGTTAAACCACCAGTACTTCGTAAAGTTGTGCCTGTTAACAACAATTTGAGGAAACGTACGGGCCACTACAGGAGCGCCCAAATCCATCCCACTAGAAATGTTTCTACTCTATTTTTTTCCGCGGCCAATAGCTGGGCCAAGTACTGGTGGCTTAAAAGGGGTCGTGACCGATTGCAATGATCATATTCCACAGGGCTGGAGATTTTGCCGTGTTCATCCACGTCAAGAGAAATGTAAGATGCCAATAATCTATGTAGTGAAAACCAAGTAGATTTGCTGAACATTGATTGCTCTTGCAGAAAGAGCCACTGCACTGTAAGGTGATAGAGGACACTGAAATTACAAAAGCCTGGCCACATGCCACAATGTCTTCTTAGATGGAACCTGACAAAAAATTCTCTACAACTTCATGTGTATCAGCAACAACATGGTGGAGTTTTCAGCAACACCTTCTGACCTCTTCACAATCCTCTTCTTTTCGTTGTCGTAGTTGTAACCTACAGTATGACAATCAACCATCATGCCGAAGTATTTTTCCCTAGCACTTGTCTGGTTCAAAACACACCCATTCAGACTTAGCCCTATAAGCTGTGGAAAGGGAGCAACAAGGACACAACCAATTCCTCCAAGTTATGTTGACTCAGAGAAATTTCACCTCAAAGGACTTCTTCAGTCTTGAAGAACACACAAGCAGACAATCAACTATTGCGGCAAGTATCTTTCCCTAGCACGGCTCGGAGGAGAGAAAAAACAAAGCATTTCAGATTTTGTGAAATCAGCGAGCCACTCAAGGCCTCCAGACCGGCTCTTGTGAGCATCCAGGCGCAAAGTGCAGCAATTCGGACATCTTGCCGGCATCAAAAGACTTCAAAGCTCAAACCCAAGTTTGCTGCATACATTTGTCTGGTTCAATAATAAATCCATGCAGACTTCTCCACATGGATTGCGGAAAGGGAAAAACATAGGGACAACCAACTCCAAGTTACGTTGAATCAGCACCCTCACCTCAAAGAACTTTTCCAGTCTTGAAGAAGTGACAAGCGTCTCTGCAACCCTCTCAACCCCCATGCCGAAGAACATCCCCATCCAAAGCCGGGGTAGCTGTAGAAAATAGACAGCAGGATCTCAGTAATAGGCAATTAACCTGTGTTACCAACTGGGCCGCCTGGGCCACCTTGGTTGCCCGGGCGGCCCACAGGCAGCAGGATCTCAGTAACAGGCAATTAACCTGTGTGACAAAATGGGCCCAGAAGTTGAGATATATCATAGATGCCAAAATGCCCCTAAAGATTTTTGGGATAATCTGCGAAATACCCCCAGAAGTTGAGATATATGCCAAAATGCCCCTAAAAGATGTGGGTAGAGCGGAATGCCCCTCTGACAAAAAAATATTTTGTGAAATACCCCTGGCGTCGGTTGGACCCCCATCTTTGCCCCATTCTAGAAACAGCAGTTATGACAGGACATTCAATTCGGGGGAAGACGGTAGCAGTACGTGCACAAATAGAACAGGAAGACTTGACTGGAACTATTAGAACATTGTATCCAACCACAAAGCAATACACATACATCATACATGAAAAGAAACAGAAACAAAGATATAACATGTTCAAGGTTAGATTTCTTTCTAAAACAGCCATTTCGATGAAATCAAGTCTAATTAGCGAAAAAGGGGTGTGGCAGGTAAAGCACCTGTGGGCAAGTAAAGCACCTGTGGGCAGAAGAACTGGGGGAATGGCGACGGAACAAGAACTCCGGAACACCCTAAAAGGATGTCATGCTCTCACAGACAACCTAAGTATAATCCAGAAGAGGATCCCACCCCATTGGCTCCGCCTCTTGAAAGAAGACTTCTCCTGGAAGCCAGGGGACTGGGGTATACTCATATCCCAAACTTCACCGAACAGAGCATACCGGTTCGTATCCCGCACCTCAGCCACCGGCTACGTTTCCAAATTCTACTCCTATCCCGTCGCCAATCACAACCTCCAGGAACTAGCCATTCTCAACAGAGAACCTCAGCTGGAGACGATAGAGTCCTTCCGGCTGCGAAAAGTGCGGGTAACGAAAAGTAAACCACGGATAATCTCCCAACCTGGCCTCAGCATAGCAGAGTTCGAATGTGATCCTAAGGAGTGGATATGGAAACAAAGCAAAACCGGAAAAACTAGAACAATACTGGAATACGACGTCAAATTCGGGTACAAACCTAGGCCTACTGACCACGGACCCCAACCCCAAACTTGAAGACAGATGGAGAGAGAGACTGATCCTAGAGCCAACAGCCTTAATATCCATCCACTGGACAAAATACCTCCCCTTCAGACCAGCTAGCATCTGTAGCTTACACTGCCTCCTAGCCCATGCAGCACTCCCTGTCAACCAGTGGCTCCACAAAAGATGAAAACAATCGTGCCCCGACAGGTCGGAACTATGCGTAATGTGCAGTGACAATGTCCCTGAAGACATCCCCCATGCCTCCTCTACTGCAGCCAGGCCGCCTGTATATGGAACAAAGTCCGAAACCTATGGTCCCACCTCTTCTCATCCCCTCCCCCCAACCTCACCCCTTTGAGCATCCTACTTCTATCTAACATCCCCAACAGCCTCACAGGTGGAAAAGTGGTCTGGTTCCACATGATCAGGAAACTAGCCCTGTGGGTCATATGGAAAAGAAGATGTACCAAGACAATCGAGGAAGTGGCCAAGGAGGACATGTGGATCCTACTGCTGAGGATGGTGCAAATGGAGGAGTATATCGACAGCAACGAGAGGCAAACCTGAAAGACTTGCACTCAGGAGACGAATCTTCATGAGAGACTGGTTGCTACAGGGGAAGATCGCGACAGTCTCAGACAATAAATTACACTGGAAGAAATGGGCCACTCCAACAACGACAAGGAATGTAGCCCGAGAGGGACAAATTGAGGTTCTAGCCTCAGATGGATAGACATCTCTCCCGGTTTTCTTGTGCTTCAATACCTATTTGAGAGAACCAACAGGGTTTCTGAGAGGAAAGCTAGGGTACGCCAAGCTGACAGTCAATCCTCCCATACAGGAGTAATCAATGCTGGTCAGGGTTCCTTCGGCCAGACGGAAGGAAGCGTGGGTGTGTACTACGATGCATTCAATCTTGACTTGCCGGGAGAACAGGAACCGGACTGACGCTCCCCAGAATGGACATGGAGCCAGGATCATAAGGACCTGTTTTTTTTGTTTTTTTTGTTTTTTTTTTTGTTTTTTTTTGTTTTTTTTGTTTTTTTTTGTTTTTTTTGTTTTTTTGTTTTTTTTTTGTTTTTTTTTGCCTTTTTAAGTCTAATTAACGAAATATTTCAATTTGCATGAAATTGACCATTAAATTTTGAGTGCTGTTTGGGGGGTTTTGGACGTTCGTACTGCACATCAGCAATGTTATAATAGGAACACAACTCTCTGCGCCAAGCACACAAAGAGGGGATATGGGGGGTTACTGAGATGGGGTTCAAGAACACTAGTAGGAGCATCGGGGAAATGGAGATTGCAGTCTTCTGTGTGAAGGTGGCGAGCATCGGGAAAATTGAGAACAACTGTAGGGTCAACTGGCCACTAGAGGAGCCCACAGGGGCAACAGCAATGGTTCGAGCAGCAGGGGAAACCCCAGGTGTGGCTGCCAACGTATTTATTTATCAACTGAAGGAGTGAAAGGATTTACGCTGCAGACACCCAGTCCCAGTCCCAAGGTCCCGACAAGTCCCAAGTCCCAGGGCTGTCCAGTAGGGTAGGCCGTAGGGTCTAGAGGCCGAAACATCGTAGGTCAGTAGGTGTCGGTACCAAAGAGTCGTAGGTCGGTCGGAGTCCGTCTGGTAGCCAACAAGAAAAGTCCAGAAGAGTCCAGTCCAGTCTGACAGTCCCAAGTCCAATTTTGCAGTATGTCCCACGAAAGTCCAGAAGCTACCGGACCAACAAAATGTTTGCAGAAGACAGACTACAGCCGACCGGTACCGGTCGGAAGCAGGGCAAGCCAAGCCAAGCCAAGTCCTATATTTAGCTGCTACAGTGCAGCGGCTCATCACTTGTTCAGTTGCGAGATGCGGAAGGGCTGCTGCTGCTTGTGTGTTAAGGCAACTTGGGCACTGTGCGCCCGAAGAAGAAGAGCTCAGATCACTTGCGAGATACTCCATAGCTAGGTTAGGGGTAGCGCAGGAGGAGGGTGGCCATACCTGCCAAGGTGAGTAAGCTTACCTGAGTGGGTGTATTCAGGGTGATGACCTAGGTTAGAGAGAGACAGAGAGAGTGAGGCAGAGCGTGCCAAGTCAGAGAGAGAGAAGCAACACACACACACACACACACACACACACACAAGAGAGAGAGAGAGAGAGAGAGAGAGAGAGAGAGAGAGAGAGAGAGAGAGAGAGAGAGAGAGAG